CTTCGGTATCTGCTTGATTGCATCCAACAGGGGAATGTTGATCTCCACTTTCCGAAACACATCCAATAGCTCTTTTTCCTCCTCTACCTTCTTTATCTTTTCCAACCTGCAAGGAAAAGGGGGTAAGTTAGAGCTAATAGTGAGTGGAGAGGTGGAAGTTACCTTAGGATCCTCACGAACACGTCCTTCCACCTCAATTTCCTTTTCTATCTCCTCCTCGCTTTTGCTTTTTGAATTTTTCACTTTAGGCCCTTCCAGCTCCTTGCCACTCCTTAGCGTCATGGCACTTACATTCTTGGGATTCACCTCAGGCTGCGATGGCAGTTTCTCATAAACGTGGGACTCCAAACGGTTAATAGCGGTTGCCAGTTGGCTTATCCGAGTTTCTTGGTCTTTCTTGTCCGCTTTGATCTCCTGATGAAGCTGAGTAGTAGTTGTGGCCAGGCTTTTGACTAGGTCCTCCAAGGAGCTTCCTGAATTGGAGGATGAGCGTTGAGATTTTGGTTGCCAAGGTTGGTGGAATCCTGGTGGACGATTCGGGAATGAACCTTGTTGCCTGTTCCCATAACTGAGATTGGGATGGTCTCTCCAACCGGGGTTGTATGTGTTGGAATACGGGTCATACTGCCAGCGGGGCGCGGGCACGCCTCCGGCCATATTTACCTGTTCCGCCCCGTCCTCTTGCAGAATGGGGCACGAATCCGTGCAGTGGTCCATGCTAGTACAGATTCCACACACCTTCGCTCGCGGTGTGTCTCTCATGGCCAATTGCCTGACAGCAGACGTCAACTCTGACAGTTGCTGCTGGATGGATGACGTCTCTGCCTCATTGACTCTACGGGTAGGATTGCTCTCACGGAAGCCGAACTGCTGAGAGTTTTCTGCCATGGCTTCAATAAGGTCCCACGCTTCCCTCGGTGTCTTGTTCGCCAGGGCTCCTCCACTCGCAGCGTCAATAATACTCCTGTCAGTTGACTGGAGTCCCTCATAGAAGTACTGGATCAACAGTTGTTCACTAATCTGATGCTGTGGGCATTTAGCGCACAACTTGTTGAATCTTTCCCAAAAATAGTACAATGACTCCCCGGAATACTGCTTGATGCTGCAAATCTCCTTCTTCAAACTTGCAGCCCGGGACGCGGGAAAAATTTCTCCAGGAATTTCTTTTTCAATTGTGCCCACGTGGTGATACTACCTACAGGCAGGTAGTATAACCAATCATTCGCTGCATCCTTGAGAGAGACGGGGAAGGCTCTCAATCTTATTTGCTCCTCAGTGACCCCAGGAGGTTTCATGCTAGAGCAAACTATTTCGAATTCCTTGACATGTTTGTGGGGTTCTTCGCCAGAGAGACCATGGAACGAAAGCAAGAGCTGAATCAACCCCGATTTCAGCTCGAAAGAGGTATTTTCAGCCAGAGTTGGGAACGTGATGCACAAGAGCTGATGAGTCAGGTCTGGGGTAGCCAACTCCCTTAATGCCTGGGTGTTGGTCATGCTAAATTCGTTTTCTACTGACTCGTTTGCAAAAGATAAGTACCTTTCTTTTCGTCTCTTGGTTTCTTGTCTTCGCCTACGCGCTGCCTTCTCAACCTCAGGATCGTATATTAATTCACCTGTGCGAGAGGAACGGGGCATAAACTAGCAAAAATACCAAGAAAATAAAATAACAAGAACTAAATAAAAAAAACTGAATTCGAAAAGAAACAAATAATTCTGATGCCAGTCCCCGGCAACGGCGCCAAAAATTGACAGGTGCCGAACCTGTGCAATCATAATAAATAAATCCTAACTACCACCTGAAACAGTCAGTAATCAATTCGAGTACTGGAGCAGAGACTCTAGGTGTGCAATGGGTTACTTGATTCACCCTGTTCCCGAAGAGTTTGCTTAATCCGATATACCTGAATTAATTATTTAACTGAATTCCCTAACTAGTAGACAGTGGTAAGCAGGGTCGTCTCCTCAGAGACTGGAGAGATATTTGTTTCTTTTCAAATCAAGATTAATGGGGGGTTTTGGTATCAAATGCCAACTGAACAAATTAAATGCAGAAAATAATTAATTAAAAGGAATAACTGAAAGAAAACTCTAGCCAAGGGTATACTTCAGAAATGGTTCATGCACTGATCATTGATGCAGAAATAATTTCAACATTTATTAATAGATTGGTTATAGTTGTCTCGCACGCGCTAAACAACCAACCCTTCCTTAATTTATCGATAGCTAAGGTACGACCGTTAGCTATTTCTCTAATCCAAAAACAACCCTAGGTACGACCGTAGGATTTAATTTCTAAATTACATTAGTAATTAGAAAGGCCCAATCCTAACCAACAAACACGCTACGAGGGTTCATTCAAGCCAGATCAAATATTCCCCTGACACAAATCCAATTATGCCAGTTGCTACTGGGATAGAGCTAACGAACAATTACGAATTCAATTACCCATATATAGCAAAATAGCCTGTATAAACAATTAATTATTGCGCACTAACCAATCATACATAAGGCTATAACAATTAGAAACCGGAAATATATAAATATTAATAAATGGAGGAAATAGTTAAAATAAATTCGATCTCACAGTAATTGCTGAACCAAATCGTCAGTAGTCCCCTTGACTAGAATTAGGGGTTTAGTTCCCCATTAGTGAACAGGCCGCGCGTACAAGGTAGGGAAGGGTCATCGATGCTTTCTTTCTTTTTGGTGTTAGGCAAGCATATGAGGAAAACTTTCAATTGCTTGATTTCTCGGTCAAGACTAATCACAAGCCACGGAATTTCCAAGTCAACAAGAGATGCAGAACCAATACGAAGTCAACAATAACGGCTCATATTGGTCCCTCACAAAGCAAACATACGAGAGAAAGGTTTCAATTGCTTCTTTTGATCTTCCAATTTCGGTCAACCAAATCTTGAGTTTTCAAAGTTCACAAAAGATGGAAAAGGAAAAAGTACAGAAGTCAAGAATGGTGGCCCCTCTGTCTCTGCTGCTTTTTCCTCTACAAAGCTGCCGCCCCTCTCTGTTCTTTTTCTTTTCCCCTACAAGCTGCGGCACCCAGTGTCATTCAAAAGCCAAAGAAAAAAAACTCCCTCCTGACCTAAGCCGCGCGAGAGATAAATACAATCCCCCACAATAGCCGTAAAATTGTTACTTGTTTTAAAATTGCAGCCGGACTCCCTAGAAATATATTAAAATAAAATCTATTACAATTAGGTTTCTTCAACTTCTCAAACGGGCCCCACGTCCGATGAATCTTCTAAAAGTTGAATTTAAACACTTTTCAGCAACCATTCCTGCAATTAGCACCAAAACAAAATATTAGTAGAATCTACCCAATTAACGAAAATATTTAGTCAATTAATTGTGCAATAATGCCCAAAATACCCACTAAAATGCAACCTATCAAACTGAAATAGCAGTATTAAACTAGAAAAAAAAGAAATATAACATAGCACCATACAAACCACTATTATCATCAATAGCAACCGATCAAAACAAGAAGAACTAAAAAAAATTGATAACTATTTATAAAATGACATAAAGTAAATAGCAAATGAATTAAAAACCTAGAATACAATTCAAATAATGCCAAAGATAACATTCAATTATTGATATCTAGGGAAAGACAAACATTGTTATTGGCAATAATATAGTAATGCTTCATTTGTATTGGTTTGAGAAAACTAAGTCCATCCATCAAGTTAGAAGTCATCTCTAATGATAAAATAAAAATTATAATAAGAGTAAACTTAAAATGATATCCAAATTGTTATTGGTTATGCTCAAAATACCCTTATTTTTTCTAATGATTACATATATTTATTGCATTTCAATATTAGTGAATAATGGAAGAGGTTATGAAACGCAAAACTTTAAAATTAAGTAAATTTCATTTATGGTGACAATTGTAATTAAATAGACTTAGTGCATTCCAATAATTGATAATAATGATAGTGGTTATGGATTAAAAGTTGGCAATTAAAAAATAAAACATTGCAATATATAAAAAATTAATATTAAAATTGTTAATTAGCGATAATTCTCATTCCAATTACATGATTATCAGAAAAACGATTATTAAAACCAAAAATATTGTACTCATATGAAAAAAGTAGACTTGTTGCTTTTGCTCCGCATTGGATTGTGCTAAAAATATGCATAAAAGAAAAGAAAAATAGAAAAACTCCAACTATCTCTATCTATAAAATTTTAATTGTCAGAATGTATAAGCTAAAAAAACTTTACGTGTGGATCATTTATACTCCATTATTGATAAAAATAAAATTAACATAATACAAAGAATTCAAATTACATGTATGTTTATTTTTCTAACTTAATTATATTCTTCATTTATAAAAAATTGTAATGATTGTGGTTTATGTGCAATAGAATCATGAATATACAATAATTTTGGTAAAACATGATATTATCAATATTTGATATGTTAGAGTTCAAACTATAAATTAAAAGGTGTTTGGTTCATAATTCCAAATTCAATCCTAAGGGAGTCAACTACATTGGAATGCTTTTTGTCTCCTTTCATTTAATAAAGTTTTTAAAAGTAACTAGCTTAAAAAATAAATACCATAAAAATGCTATATTATGATATTGATTACAAAATTTTATTAAAAAAAATTTAGTATCTAAAGAATAATATATTTTAAAATATTACAATCACGTGCAAAGTACGTAAACTATTACTAGTGTTTCATAAGTATACAGAGGTAGCTCTTCTAACTTGGCTCGGTCCACAGTTTTGCTAACCATGTTTTCCACTTTATACGCAGCTTCAAACAAAGACACCTGATCATCTTGGTCTTTACTTGTTTATGAGTAGGTGGTAGGTGAATGCATAAATATAAATGACAACACATGAGAAATTAATTAAGTAGAGTTTGAGCATATTAAAGTGAGTAATGTCAACTTTGTGCTTAGCCCACCATTTCCAACAAAAATATAGAGAGACGGCAATAAATAAAGATACTGCAACCACTGTGACTGCAGTGACTGCTTTCGTATCCTTCTTTTTATCTGTATTTCAAGTGTTGAAAGCATAAATTCAGAATTTTCATTCAAGGAATTAGGTAATAAGCCTTCATTTTAGTCATTTTGATACTGATGCGACTGCCAAAGATGCGACTTGGGCTGAGCTGGGTGAGTTGAGCAGATTGGGGCTGATCGAGCTGATGGGGGGAGAGCGAGTGAGCTGCCCTATCAAGAAAAGCGATGGCGGGACTGATGTCGCCGGAATAGCTCCGACGATCAAGTCAACGAGAGCTTGAGAGTAAAGTAACAGTATAGAGTATTGTAGATGGCGTACCTTATGTCGTCGTATGAAACTACATTTATAGGCTTGCGGGTAGTAGTTTTCATATAGGAGTCGGAGTTCTCTAAGATTTGGAGTCTTTCTAGAATTTCGTGTAATACTCCAAACGGTCCAGAGGTCACGGCCCACTAGGCCCACATGGCAGAGAGGCAGCGGCGTCGGGCGAGCTGGTGCTCTCCAGCCAACCTGGCTTATCCGAGCTGGCGGGCCACCATGGCCTAGCTGACACGTGGCGACTGTCAATTGGCCCCATTACACTCGCCCCCCTTTGAGTCTAGAGTCATCGAAAGGTCGCATGAGTCTGGATCAAATTTTGGGGCAACGGGTCAGTTTGGAGCAGAGCCCACGATCCCATGATTGCTGTCTTTATCTGAGTAACTGACACGTTTGTTCATGTAACTGGCACTTCAAGGGTCATGTCCCATTATGATGGCGGTTGTCAACAAAGGCGACGATTTTCTAGTAATAAATTTGAAATTTTAATTCGGGGCTTTTTGTCTTCCTGCTTGGGTGGTCTATAAATAGACCCCACCAGACGTCACTTTCAAGTTTCCTTTCTCATTTCTTCTACTTCCAAATTTCCATCAGCGCGCACCACGCTTAGTGAGTTCGTTCGAGAGTAGCGTCCCCTTCTAAGCACCTACCGGCTCTTCTTCCTTATCTGCTAGTAAGTTCTCTTTTCCTTTTATGTCATCTTCTTCCACACACTCAGGCATCACTAGTTCAGCACCTAGGCGTAGAGTAGTCTGACCTGCCCCAATAGAAATAATTTCTTCTTCTTCTTCTAGCTCCTCTTCTTCCAGCTCGTCTGACTCTGAATATCTTCCTTCTCCCATTCGTTCACCAATCCGAGCCATGAACCCGTCCAACCAGCCTACCCAGCCTATTGAGGGAGCTGCTGTTCAGGGTATTCCCCTGGAAGCAGCTCCCATAATATCAGGGTAGGAACCTCTGGGGGGCATGGCATCGACTTTGGGGAAGTCAAGGTAATACCACCCTCCTAGATCAGGCAAATGTAGACGAGCTGGTAGAGAGGTATGATATCCCTCCTTAGTTCAAGGCCAGGGCCACCCAACTTGGTTAGTACGCCAGCTGACCTCCCCCAGGCATTATGGCCATCTACAGAGATCAGCTCATAGTTGGTCTCCGCCTTCCGATTCCTCACTTCTTTTACCAAATTCTGACCTTCTGGGAATTCGGATAATCCAACTCGTCCCTAAGGCTGTTCGGTCGATCCTCGGCTTCTTTATCTTGTGCCGAGTTCTCGAGATCCCCTATTCCTTAGACCTGTTCAAGTCATTTTTTCAAATGAAGGTCTGCGGTCCGGTCCATGGTTGGTTCTACTTCGCTCGTAGGAGCGGGGGGGGAGTTCTCAACCCGTGAGCTGTTCTCGAACGCTTCTTCCTTTATTAAGGGCTGGAAGGCCTAGTTCTTCTATGTGAAGAACAAAGGCTTTCCTCCCTTGACCTGGAGGGAGGAGACTCAGGTGTCTGACCCCATTCCTTCGCCCCTGCCAGCAGCCGAGCTGAACCGCCTGATTAGTTCGGGAGCTCGGTTGAAGGTGAAGGAATTCAACAACGTCCATCTCTGGTCCGCGGGGCTGATTCGAGCAGGGGTGAATGACCCTACTCTTGATCTTCGACCTCTCACCCCCGAGGAGCTGGCAGCTTGTAAATTCTTGATCTCATCCCCCATTCCTCCTTCTTTTTTATGAGTTCAACTATGTTGTCCGAACTGACCTCTCCTCTTTGTCCTGTAGTGAAGAGATTCTCCCAACTGTTGAACATAGGGAGAACTGGCAGTTCGAGCACGCCTGCTGCTGAGCCCTCCACCGTTCCTGTTAGCGTGGCTGCTCCTTCTCCACTAGTGCCTATCCTTCAGGTAGCGGCTCGGTCGTCTCCTGTAGAGGAGCCCAAGAAGCAAAGAAAGAAGACGACAGCCAAGAGGGCCCGTACTAAGGTGACTTCTCCTCACGCCCAAGAAGGGCAATCCGCCGCTCAGCCCGGGTATTACGGAGTAAACACCGCAGAGCAGCAGGCCTCGTCAAAGTCACTACCAGCCATGTGGCGATGAAGGAACGTGATTCCTCTGAAATCACCATCCGATCTGAGCGCACACTCGCACCCCCTGCACTTCTGTCCGAAGTGGGGGTTGTCGGTGAATAATCGAGCCCAATTTTCAGAGACAGCTCGGGAGATCCTTAGGGGCACAGTGCTCCCACGCGACACCACTTCAACCAGTTGGCGTCCAACTCCGAACTGCTGGAGAGCTACTACCTCAACGCGGCTCAAATAATCCTTTGAACTAACTGTACTTTGTCGTATTCTGCATTTGGCTTGTCCTGACCTTGTGCTTAATTTGTAGCTTAACGTTACTGGCGCCGAACTATCGCAGAGGTATGAGAATATGGGCGAGAACTTGTTTCAAGCCGATGCGGCCAAAAACAAGTTGTCAACCCAGCTCGAGGCTGTCGAAACTGAGCTGGAGTCCATGAAGAAGCAACTCGCCGAATCCCAGGCCGCCTGCGAGCTGGAGAAGAAGAAGACGGCCAAGCTGGGCACACAACTAGAAGCCGAGCAGAAGAAGTCTGCGGAGCTGCCTGGTCAGATTGATGCTGCTCGTGAGGAGGGTCGCCAGCTGGGCGTCAAGGACTTCAAGAAGTTTGAGGATTTCATGAAGGATCTGGTCATTCTTAACGAGCCAGTTCTGCAGGTGAGGTATACACAAGCTATGCATGACGTGCAGTCTCTGAATTTGCCTAGATTCGACTTAGGCAGATGGCCTGATTACAACCCACAAGCAGTTCACCAGATCGACAGGTTCGTGGAAGGCTACGCGCATGGGCACGACCTGGCCGCGCTGGTTGTAGACCCCACCCTACCTATGACCTTCACTGAACCCAAGCAAGAGCAACAGGAGGAGAATTAGGTAGTGTTTAGTACAGATATAGATAGGGCATAGAGTAGGGTAGGATCCGAACTGGCCAACTCGCTTTTGTATGGCCCCCCTTTTTGTACACCTTTTTGAATTGAAATAAATGATCTTTTTAATTAAACTTTTAGCAAAAAATCTTACATTTCGTCGTAAGACCTAGATACATTCTTAAACGTCACGCGACCCGCTTTCTAATCAGCTCGAGTCATGCGCGAGCTCTAACGAAAAAGTTTTAAATTCGAATTGCGCCAGGTGCGTGGGATTTCATCCCCATTAGGGTGAGTTAGCCTGCAGTACCCAGCGCGGTTAGCTTCTTTTACCACGTAGAGACCCTCCCAATTCGTGTCAAGCTTGCCTGTGCCCATAGCTCGGCCACTGCATTTCTCCGCAGTACCAGGTCTCCTAATTTGAATGCGAGATGCCTTACTATGGCGTTGTAGTACCGCGCGACCTGCCCTTTGTACTTTGCTATTCTTATGGCAGCTTCTTCTCTTTGCTGCTTGAGCAAGTCTAGGTTGAATCGCATCTCTTCCTCGTTATTCTGGGCCACGAAATGCTGCACCCTACTTGAGGACACTCCAATTTCTGTTGAAATTACTGATTCGGTCCCATATGTTAGGACAAAGGAGTTTCCTGGATAGCCGTCTAGGGGTAGTCCGGTAGGCCCACAGTATAGTGGGCAGCTCGTCCACCCATTCAGTTCGCGCAGATCATATCCGCGTCTTGAGGCCATGTAAGATGGTCCTGTTGACATTTTCGACCTGTCCATTAGCTTGTGGGTGCCCCACAGAAGTGAAATGTTGCTGAATTTCGAGCTCAGAACGCCACTCCTGGAGGGAATTGTCAGCAAACTGTCAGCCATTGTCCGAGACTAGGACTCGCGGTATGCCAAATTGGCATACTATGTTCTTCCAAAGAAACTTTTAGACCGACCTGCTATTGATTGTGCTGAGTGGTTTGGCCTCGACCCATTTAATAAAGTAATCAATTGCTATCACCAAGTGCTCATAACTTCCTGGAGCTTGAAAAAATGGGCCCTACAGGTCGATTCCCTATTGGAAAAACGGCCATGAGCTATGAAGGGGTACTATCTCCTGAATTGGGGCGTGATGAACCGAGGCGTGCAATTGGCATGACTTACATCTGACTACCAGTTCAACCGAGTCCCGGAAGATGGTAGGCCAATAGTATCCAGATAGCATTCCCTTCTTGGCCAGAACTCTCGAGCCAACGTGATTACCATAAATGCCTTCATGCAGTTCACGCAAGACATAGCTTCCTTCCTCTGGCGTTACACACTTTAGCCATGGCTGCAAGTAAGACTTCTTATATAGTACTCCCTCTGTGAGCACGTATTTTTGTGATTTGAAAAGGACTTTGCGGGCCTCTGTCCTACTCGCAGAGAGCTTTCCATTGGCTAGGTACCGGACGATGGGGTCCATCCATGAGATTACTATCTGAATGACTGCGGTGTCTAACTGCTCATAGGCCCGTCTTTTAATGACCTCCACCAGCACCTCCCTATTTTGTGTGCCAAACGAGGTAAATGCCAGTTTGGACAAGGTGTCAGCTCTCTTATTTTGGCTCCGTGGGATCTACTCGAATATGAACTGCTTGAACTGACCCCTCAGCTCGTGTGCCTTGATGCCATATTTCCTCAATGGTACTTCTTTGATCTCGTAGTTTTCTCATACTTGGTTTACTATTAGCTGCGAATCGCTGTAGACTTTTATTGATTCGGCCCCAATTTCCGAGCCATCTCCATTCCCACGATCAGAGCCTCACATTCAGATTCGTTATTGAAGGCTCTGAAATCGAATCTCAAGGGGTAGGCCAGCTCTTCCCCAGTAGGGCTGATTAGGAGGAGCCCCGCTTCACATCCTTCTTTGCTTGATGCGCCGTCTACGTACAACGTCCAGGCCAGATCAGTTCATCCTGTAGCCTCTTTAGCCTTTTTGGCTTGGGCAGTCTCTCTAGCCTGTTCGGTCTTGACTGCTCCTTCAGCCTGTGCGACCTGGGTAGTCTCTCCGGCCTGTTCGACCTTTGCTACCTCATTGGCTTGGGCGACCTCGATAGCTTCTTCGACCTGCAAGGCCCCGACTGCTTCTTGGGTCTGCATAGCATTGGCAGTTTCTCCAGCTCGTCTGACATGTGTGACCTCGGCAGCTTCTTTGGCCATCCTGGCCTCAACTGTTTCTTTGGCCTGGTTGGCTTTAGTCCCATGCGACCCGAAGGAGACACCCTCTGATACGGTCCTCGATCAACAAGTTTCGAAACACGTAGCACATTTGTCCAAGGATCTAGCGAGATTGTCCAACACTTGGAATGCGAAACCTAGAACCAAAACTGACGACATGAATTGATTGAAGGTGGTAGAACGACGACTTCAATTGAGGTGATATTCTAGTGGATAGCTCAGTAGAACAATCAAGGACATTCGCAAGATTGCTCAAGAACGCTTGCCAAAAGCAAATAAAGGATCGACTGCTCTCAATAATTTGAAGAGAATCGAACCAGAATTTTATTATGAAAATTGTCTACCTGTTAACCGTACAAAGTGAGCCTTTATATAGGCTAAGAGGCTAATGAAACCCTAAGAAACTAGCTAAGGAGGGTCGGCCACTCCTTGGACAAGGTGGGCCGGCCCATGACTCAAATAAAATAATCTAATATAACTCTAAACAATTGAACCTAACACTAAGGCCTAGAGCCTAGTCAACCATTCCCACATGGGGGTCCACTCGACTCTTCACGGGCTCTCTTCGTGGGTTTGGATCATCGTGTAGACAACTTGATTATCACCTTCCAAGCCTTCAATATCCCGATGGACTCCTTGTTGGTCTTGAACATTTCGCACAAGAGTTTGAAGAGACTCCTTGAAGCACTTGGTCCGTGCACGTGTGACTAGGCTCAATGGGACTCGAACTGGATCATTACTTGGCCTAAGGTCCGTGCACACATCATTCTCCTCTACTTGAGAAGGATTTGTCCTCAAATCTGGATCCTCCTCACCAAGGAATGGACTCAAGTCTGTGACATTAAAAGTCGCGCTAACATTGTATTCCTTGGGCCTTTGCTGGATGGTCATCAGGTAAGCAGTGCTTTTGGAGAAGACTCGCGACGAAACGAACTGAGTTGCTAATAGTCGCGCGAGCTGGTTGAAAGACCGAATTGACCTGGGAGGCAGCCCCCGGAACTACTGACGTGTCTTCCCCTCCAAGAACATTGGGAAGGTCTTGCACCTGATCGCGTCTGCGGCCATTTGTAGGCGCATTTGTGTCAAAAATGCGAATAGGTGGTCCTCCGGATCCGTGGTCGCATCGTAGGATTTCATACTCAGTATCTTCAACTTCGTGGGCAGTGGATAGCTCTCAATATCGGGCACGAAGGGAGAGGCAATGTACCTGTCCGCCTCAGGGTCCAAAAGTAGGTCCAGCTCATCCTGTACCTGGTATTCCTCTTTCCGTGGGGAGAGCTCTTCCTTTGAGAACCTTCGGAAGGGCTCCAGGTGCTCAGTTCGGGTGTTCTTGTGAGAAGGCTCCACGACCTCGATCTATTCACGTGTGAGCTCCCTACGCGCCCGCTTTGGCCGGGGGTTAGGACTCCCTGTACGGGACTCGGACAGCCCAACTCCTTCCACCCCTTGGGCCTTAAGCTTCTGGTCACGATGGCCTCTCGTCTGCTCTTTGAAGTAGTCCATGATTGCCTCAAAGGTAGATAGGTTTTCCACCAGTTAGCTGTTCAGGCGAGATTCATGAGAGCCCCGTCCCTTCGTCTCCTGGAATTGGACCCCGGGGGGGGGATTCTAAGGGCCGCTTTGCTCGTTCCCCTTGGATCCGTCAGCGTTCCTCTGGGACCTAGTTCTTGGCATGGTTTGCAAGAGAAGAATTACGTGTTTCCCACAGATGGTGCCAATTAATGCGATTGTCAAAGACGAGACCCGAGCTGAGCGGATTGGGGCTGATCGAGCTGATAGGGGGAAAACGAGCGAGCTGCCCTGTCAAGAAAATCGACGGCTAGGCTGATGTTTCCGGAGTAGCTCCGACGATCAAGTCAGCGAGAGCTTGAGAGTAAAGTAACAATATAGAGTACTGTAGATGGCGTACCTTGTGTCGTCGTATGAAGCTACATTTATAGGCTTGCGGGTAGTAGTTTCTATATAGGAGTTGGAATCCTCTAGAGTTTGGAGTCTTCCTAGAGTTTCGCGTGAATACCCCGAACGGTCCGGAGGCCGCGGCCCACTAGGCCCACATGACGGAGAGGCGGCAGCGTCGGCCGAGCTGGTGCTCTCCAGTAGACCTGGCTGTTCCGAGCTGGCAAGCCACCATGGCCGAGCTGACATGTGGCGACTGTCAATTGGCCCTACTATAGATACCTTTTTGGTAGAAACACAAGCAAATTTCATCATAACTTCAAATAGATCCAAAAAAAATGTGAGAATTATCAGTTCTGGACTTTTGGATTGATTGAAAATTTATTTTAAAAAAAAAAAAAACTGGGCACAAATCCTTAGACATGTATAAGCAATTAATAAGTGAAACATGTAACTATAACTAGTGTATAGAAGATATATCTTACCAAGTTCAGAATAAGGTACGCGTATATACAAGTCTGCCCCATCATAGGAGAACTGCTGCACATCGATTAGGCTGCCACGCCAATGCATACATCCTATCCCTTTGTAATATGCATAAGCTGTGCAAGAGCAATTTTTCAAGCAAGAACTACCACATGCTTCTTCTGAGAATACTACCAGCACAAGGAAATCTGGAACTTTCATGTTTGGGAGTCTCACAAATCCATTTTCTTTGGCATCTATACTGGAAGATTGATTTCTCTCACATTTCAACAATTCCTTTCTTATGCATCCACCACTCCAATTTTCTCTGTTCCATTCCTCTTCATCTCTTGGCTTAAACCCTCGCAAACACGTACAAATTGGTGACTGTAGACGATTGCAGCTTCCAAAAGGTCCATATTTGCCATAAATATCACATTGGCTTTCTAGACTTGACCACGTTACACTCCAATCTCCTTTACCAATTAAGACCTTTGCCTGTAAACACCCTGAGGAATTCAATGCGTAGTAGAACAGATCCGGATTATTTACAGAGTTGTAGGTAAACTAAGTAGATCCTGAATTGTCCTCCACCAGATCAAATCGACTCTGATAAGCAGAACTCATGCCAGCTATTCCGATGAACGTATTACCACTCCGTGGACCACTGCGCCAGTGAGGTACATTAATCTCCCAAACAAAGAACTGTTGCGGCCGGAAAAGGTTAAGGCCTGCAGAGAAATCTCCAATGGAAGGATCAGAAGGGCTTCTCCAGGAAGTTAGTTGGAGCTTCTCTTTTGCACCCGCACTTAATCTCATCTTTGGCACCAAAGAATCAGTAGGAATTTGGAAACTCTCCCACATCGTACTTCCATCTGAGTTGTCTGTCAAGACTAAGTTCCCAGTATCCAAAAGTTTGGCACTTGAGCTTGCCACAGACTTTGAAGCATTAGAAGACCATATGATCTCCCTCTCCCCATTCAAGATTACAAGGTTACCGTCTCCTGCAATTGTCAAAATTCCGGTAGAATCCTTAACAGGTTTGTCCCTGTTAGCCACCCATATAACAGTTGTTCCAGGAATATTATCGTACATGATTCCAACATAGCGATTACTGGCGTTTGCAGGACTAAAAAAACCCAACTTGAAGGTTTGCCCGGAGGATACTAAAGTTTCATGGTCTTGGACAGGCCTAGCAATAGTAATAGTGTCTATGGCGGTACAAACTGTTAAACAGCAAGCAAGTACAAGAACAAAAGATTCCCTCATTGAGACTGGAGATTCATTGTTTCTTTTTCTTGTCAGTGCTGCCATCAGAGTTAGGCCAGAGGAAGGTGCAGTCCTGGAGGAATTGTCTTAATGTTGGATATGTCAAATTCATTCACTCCCTGAAAGGAGTAACAAAGTAGGAGAAATAGGGAGTCCAAAATTGTGGCCGACCTTAATTGCTCCTCTGCCAAAATTTTTTGGTTTGCATAATCAGTCTCAACTGGTATAATATACATAATTATTTTTTTTGCGCTATTGATTATTAACTGATAGTGAGTTGTATTGTCTTTGCATTAGGGACGAGTTTGACATAGAGGCCAACTACTAGGAATTGAAATTGCAATTAATTCTCCCTATTTTAGTATTTTGTGGAGGTGTACTTATATGGGAGAGTTTATAAATGCAACCAGGAATAAAACTGTATGCGTTAGACAAAGTGTTAATGCTAATCAGAACCTAGTTAAACATGTCATTATAAAATTTGATCAAAAAAATTAAAGAAAAAAAAATAAAATTGATACCTTCAGAATGGCAATTGGTTTTTACTAGAACAATCTAAAGAAACACTAGTGAACAAATGATTTGGAAAACCCTAATTTGTTTGTTTGGATACCTCAGTATTCTACTAATCTTTGCCCATATTGCTGTAAAATGTGCTATCGGCCTACGACAGCTGTTATACTGACATCATTGGGGGAATGTATACCTTGTTCAGGATGTACAGTTTTTGAAGGACAAAATATGGCATTATAAGCTGGTAAGTTAGGACAAGGGATCTCAACTATTTCACTGTTAAGCATTGACAGAACATTGGACACGTTTGGTCTATCCTTGGCATGCTTCTGCACACATAATAGTCCAACATGGATGTATCTCAAGACCTCCATTTCAATGCACGGATCAAAAATTCTTGGATCGATTAATTTCACTGTTTCACCTGCATTCCACAGTTTCCAGGCCTGAAAATTATGAGAACAAAATGCAACTGAAATTAATCATGAGTTGTATAAAAGTGGAATGAATTTCGCATATGGGAATCGCCATGTATAGAAACTTACATATTCTACCAGGCTGTGATCATTCGCCTCGTTACCAAAGCTAGTGTTTCGCTTTCCACTCACAATCTCCAACAGCAGCACTCCAAAGCTGTAGACATCTGACTTTTCAGAAAACTTTCCTCTCATTGCATATTCTGGGGCCATATAGCCACTGCATCCCGTTATCAACAAGGGGTGAAATTGATTTATGCTTAAACTCAACAGAAATGGGAGGGGGAAAGAGAGGGGGGGGGGGTTTTGGAGTTTCCATGATTGAACTGAGATAACTGGTACGTGCTTACTATGTCCCCGCAACCCTGTTCGTATTGTCTTGATCTTGGTTGCCTCTGAAAATTCTTGCTAAGCCGAAATCTGATATTTTTGGAATCAGCTCCCCGTCCAAGAGAATATTACTGGCTTTAAGATCTCTGTGGATAATTTTCAATCTCGAGTCCCTATGAAGGTACAAAAGGCCTCTGCAGATCCCTTCAATGATGATGGTGCGTCTATTCCAAGCAAGTAAATCATGCTTGCATATATCTGAAATCAGGCAGAATGTGAGTACAGTTTTATTGTTTAGTCAGACGATCATCCATCAACAATTCTGTAAATATGGTAGAAGACATCCTAGTAATCAACATTTCGGTACAGGAAATTATAACCAGCTAACCAAATAGATAGGCATCCAGGCTTTTGTTTGGCATGAATTCATAGACCAGCATTTTCTCCTCTCTTTCAACACAGCACCCAAGAAGTCTGACAAGATTTCGGTGTTGGAGTTTTGAAATGACCAGAACTTCATTCTTAAACTCCTCGATCCCTTGAGTCGAAGAGTTTGAAAGCCTTTTCACTGCAATTTCCTGGCCGTCTATCAGTTTCCCCTGCATATGTGTGCTACACTATTATTGAGTTCTTTACAGTCCAAACTGCATAAGGTTCTGCAAAAAAACGAACGAACGAACACTTGATATACCTTGTAGACTGAACCAAAACCACCTTTCCCAAGCTTGATTTCCACATGAAAAGTATTTGTTGCGTTAGCCAGTGTCTCATTACCGTACAGATGAAGCTGATCTTCACTGTCGCTGAGCATGTCTTTCATTCTGATGATTGTTTCACCTGCTTCAAATAGTGAAAGTTAGGTTTGTGCACCTTCTCCATATTGCCAATGCATGTAGGGAATATGTCGTGACTTTATCTTTGCTAATCTAGCGCTTTACCTCTATGATAAGGCAACCACTTCCATAAGAAATATGCAAAACCAGCAACGAACAAAGATATCACAACAACTATGCTAGCAATGACTGCTTTCTTGTGACTTTTGCTTTTGGTGTGATCTGCATTTCAGGTGGTTCAAAGCAGATTATGAGAATTTACAAGGAACTAGACATGTGCCATCATATCAAATTTTAGCATCATTTTGAGGTAGATTTGTGCAATAAATTATCAACACAGCTTAAGAAGATTTCACTACTCAGAGACTGGATCACATCCATATATACAAGATGCAAGTAATGAATAAGGGGCTGGAAAAATAATTACCAAGTTCAGAATAAGCCACACGCACATATAGATCTGTCCCATCAAAAGGGAATTGTTGTACATCTATCAAATGGCCACTCCAGTGCATACATCCAACGCCCTTGGGATATGCATAAGCTATGCAAGAGCAATTGTTTGAGCACTCATCACCACATTCTTCCTCCCTTATGAGGTTGAGGACGCCAACTAAGTAAGAGGAATCTGGAACTTTTACGTTATTGAGCTTTAAATACCCATCTGGTTTGGCCTCCTGACCACCAGATATGTTCCCCTGGCATTGCAGCAATGCCTTTCTTAAGCAGCCACCAGTCCAGTTTCCTCTGTTCCATTCCTCCTTGTCTCTTGGCTCAAAACCTTTCAAGCATGTACAAATTGGCGAACCCTGAGGATTACATATTCCAAAAGGGCCGCATTTGCTATAGACATCACATTCACTCTTTCGACTTGACCATGTTACCGTGGAATCTCCTAGGTCATTGTTCCAAACGTTCTCCAGGTAAATCCCAGAGGAAGTCAATACATGGTAGTATGTCAAAACAGAATCATTGAAGCAATCGTAGGTAAGGGATGCAGAATCTGTATTTTCATTCACCATATGTAACACGTGTCGACCTGAATACATGCCAGGAACTCCAATGAAGACGTTGCCATCCCATGGACCACTGCGCCAAAGAGGCTTACTCTGATCCCAAATGAAGACTTCTGGAATTCCTGGATGATCAAAACCTAGAGAGAAACTTCCAATAGATGGGTCGGAAGGACTTTTCCATGAGGTAAGCCGGTTCTTGTTCTTGGTGCTTGCCCCTAGTCTCATTTTGCAGACAATGGTGTCTGTAGGATGCCGAAAACTTTCCCATAGAATCATTCCATTTGAGTTGTCTCTCAGGACTAAGTTCCCAGTATCCAAGAGTTGTGCACTGCAATTTGCCACCGAATTTGAAGCATTAGAAGACCATAAAACCTTTTTCTGCCCGTTCAGGACCGTAAGGTTTCCATCTTCTGAAATGGAAAATATTCCTCCAGAATCATTCAAGGGTTGGTTTCTGTTAGCTACCCAAAGAACAGTCTGTTGAGGAAAATTATTGAAAATGATTCCAACATATCGATTACTAGTATTTGCAGGGCTAAAAAATCCCAATTTGTAGGTTTGTCCTGCGGAGACTACAGATTCGGGGTCACGAATCGGCTTAGTGATTGTAATGGTATCATTAGCTCTGCAATCTTCTGTGCAGAAGCAAGCAAACAGGAGTAGTAGAGGTACTAAGTTTGTAAGTTCCTTCATTCTCCTGCTGCAGAGAAAATGGTCTATCATTTTTTTGCAAATAACTTCTGAGTTTCGACACTTCACATTTGACTCCTTTCTCTTTCTATTCAAACCGCGTTGCTGCTGGATATTTCTTGATGGCAAGTTTTCCTTCATTCACCCGCAACAATTCAGATAGCTGGACATATGCATTCATGTTTCAAAGTCAACATTTAGACCCCATGATGGCACTGTATTTATGCGACAAAAAAATTTTATAAAGTGACAATCTCACGAGACGGGATTCAACTTCTATAAAGCAAAATTGGAGATAATAATCGCGGAAATTGGTTCAAGGAAAAAATCTACACTTATATTCGTCTTTGTGGGTCCTTTTAGAAGTTGTGCCCTTAACCTCAGGACATACAGGACAACGACAGGAAGATAATGAGATCAAAGAACATTTTGGTTTTTGTTCTTTTAGCATTCCAAGTTTGTTGAGAAACACACACCACTCATTAATTTATAAGTTGTTATTCTCAATAGCATCCAGACAATTAGCCATTCTTTGATTTAAGGTACAAAAGGCAATTTGAACCAAAAAATTCATTGTTCGACAAGGAATGGCAGCATAACCGAATTTTTTTTTCCATTACCCTCTAAAACAACATCAATGTGCTTCACATCTTCTGTGCACTCGAAAGATGAAAAACACTTACCCCCAAAAGGAAAAAAAAACATGTATTGGGATGTGCTATCTGCCTTGAACACCTGTTAGAGTTGCACCATTCACAGAATCTGTGCTTTTTTGAGGACATCCGGCTGAAGCACCCAATCTTCCTATATAAGCTGGTAAATTAGGACGAGGAAGGTCTGCAATTTCACTATTCAGCATTGACAGAACAGTTGAGACATTTGGCCGATCCTTTGTATATTCTTGCACGCATAGTAGTCCTACATGTACGTATCTCATGACCTCCACTTCGATGCATGGATCAAAGATCAACGGGTCTATCAAATTTGTTATATCATTTCCATTCCACAATTTCCAGGCCTGAAAATTTTGGCAAGTTGATGAATTTTGGAGTTCAGAGATTGAAATGTTAGAAATGGAAATGAATCTTTAGAATTGCAGTCCTAATAAAGAAACAAGCTTACATATCCTAAAAGGCTGAGCTCGTACTCATCATGGTAAAAGCCTGTGTTTCTCCTTCCACTTACAATCTCCAATAATAGCACTCCGAAACTGTAAACATCTGACTTTTCTGAAAATCTTCCCTCCATTGCATATTCAGGGGCCATGTAGCCACTGTTATCACATAATTTGGGGACGTAAGAACAAAGTTAATCTACGGAAGTTGCATTATAGGATATAATTTTAGCAGTATGTGCTTACTAGGTTCCTACAACCCTGTTGGTATTTGCTTGATCTTGGTTGCCGCCGAAAATTCTTGCTAAGCCGAAATCTGATATTTTTGGCTTAAGCTGGTCATCTAAGAGGATGTTGCTTGCTTTTAGATCCCTGTGAATAATTTTCAATCTTGAATCCCTGTGAAGGTAAAGGAGGCCTCTTGCAATCCCCTCAATGATGCTAATGCGGGTGTTCCAATCAAGTAAACCACGTTTCGATGGCTCTGAAAAGATCAGGAGGACTAAAATCATCATAGGTTTATGAAACTGTGTTGGGTTCCATAAAGAAAGACGGTTCTATGGAACTTTAGTAACCACATTGGAAAAAGAAACACCAGATTGACTAACCAAAGAGATAGGTATCCAAGCTCTTATTTGGCATGTATTCATACACAAGCATTTTTTCTTCTCTTCCAACACAGCAGCCAAGAAGTCTAACAAGATTTCGATGTTGAAGTTTAGAAATCACCATAACCTCATTCATAAACTCCTCAGTTCCTTGACCAGAAGATTTTGAAAGCTTTTTCACAGCTATCCCCTGTCCATCTGATAGCTTTCCCTGCAGTTACATAACCGTTACATTTGCTGTATTCAACCATAGAAAACACCACATGCAGCTGAGGATGTGTACCTTGTAGACAGGGCCAAAGCCACCTTTTCCAAGCTCACTTTTTGGTTCAAAATCATCTGTTGCATTAGCTAAAGTTTCGTAACTATAAAGTGGTAGCTCTTCAAGCTTGGGTTGCTCCAAGTTGTCGCTAAACAAGCTTTCGACATTATATACTTCCCCTGCTTCAATTAATGAAATCTGATCTTGTTTCCCTGTGCTTATCATGAAATAGTGCTTGGTAAATTTATGATGAGGAAAAACAATGTCTGAAAAATGAAGCTAAAATCAGAGTAATACCCTTCCGCTTAGCCAGCCACTTCCAACAAAAGTATGCAGACAATGCAAAGGATAAAGATGCTGCAATTACTGAGGTTGCAATGACTGCTTTCATGTCCCTTTTCTTGCCTATAAATGTCAAAGTTTCAAAGCATCTTCAGAAAGCTACTATCGAGAAAGAACTAGCCAAATGCAATTCTATGTCATTTTGACTTTCTTGTAGAATCTATAGAAAAAATGTAAAAAGAAGTGAAGGGGATTTGATAACTTAGTTACATTCCAAAATATAGCCTTGATCGAATTCAAATCCTATTTGAATGCAGAAGCAGAAAGTAAAATGCTACATTAAGAGTACAGAGTTACTAAAACATTGTAATAAGAAGTGTCTTACCAAGTTCAGAATAAGGCACACGTATGTATAAATCTGCCCCATCAGAAGAGGGAAACTGCTGTATATCAATTAAGCTTCCCGTCCAGTGCATACAGCCAATGCCTGGATAAGAGGCATAAGCTAAACAGGAGCAATTATTTGAGCACTGAGTACCACATTCGTCTTCTGAAGTTGCGACCCATTCAGCCAAATCTGGAACTTTAGTGTTTGGGAGCTTCAAGAATCCATCTTGTTTGCCCTCAGAACGAACAGAATTATTTCTCTCACATTGTAGCATTGCCCTTCTTGTGCAACCACTAGTCCAGTTTCCTCCTTCCCATTCCACCTTATCTCTAGGCTCAAAACCTTGCAAACATGTACAAATAGGTGAACCATGGGGTTTGCAGCTTCCAAAAGGTCCACATATGCCATAGACATCACATTGACTTCCTTGGCTTGACCATGTAACCTCCCAATCCCCTTTTCTATCTGATAAAACTTTCTGCAGTACAGACCCTGAGGAACTCAATTCAAGGTACAACAAACCACTATCATTTGAATACGTGAAGGTAGCAGACACCAATCCTGCATCATCCGTTACCAGGTTAAAACCATTTAGATAAACTGGATCCATGGCAGGAACTCCAATAAAGACATTGTTGTTCCATGGACCACTGCGCCAATAAGGTTTATTGTCGTTCCAAATGAAGAGTTGTGGAATTTGCTTGGCTTCAATACCTAGGGAGAAACTTCCGATAGATGGATCAGAAGGACTTCTCCAAGAGGTCAATCGTATTTTCTGGCCTTTCGTACTTGAACTTAATCTCATCCGCCGGAGATATGAGTCTGTCGGAATCTGAAAACTTTCCCACAGAGTTCTTCCACTGGGATTGTCTGTCAAAACGAAGTTTCCAGTATCCAAGAGTTGTGCAGTAGAATTTGCCACAGAATTTGAAACGTTAGATGACCATAGTATCTCCTTCTGCCCATTCAAGACCACAAGATTGCCGTCTCCTGAGATTGTCAGAGTTCCTGATGAATCATTTAATGGTCTGTCTCTATTAGCCACCCATACTACTGCAACTGCAGGAACATTGAACATGATTCCAACATATCGATCACTACTATTTGCAGGACTGAAAAATCCTAATTTGAAAGTCTGGCCTGAAGAAACTACAGTTTCGGAGTCCTGCAGAGGCTGAGTGATTGTTATATAATCCACCGCTGTACAAGCTTCTAAACAGAAGCAAGCAAGCAGTAGAAAAAGGGATCCCCTCCTTGGTGATTGAGAAGTTATCATTGATGATGAACAATCTAATAATCTAACTCCATTTCATTCCCTCCACAAATTGTTTATATCTGGGAATCTAATAGGGCAATACAAGATTTTTGCATTCTTCCTAGATATTTAGACCAAGTCATGCCATAAGAAAATTAAACCCAAACGTGGCTCTTGTCATATTCATGAAGCCGTCATGCATGATGAAATCCATGTGTTTGATTATGATAAACTAAAGGGCAAATTACATTTTATCCCCGTGGTTTAGTCTCTTTATTTTTTACATAATCCTCCTATGGTTTCAAAAGTTATACATAACCCCCTCATAGTTTGGATTAAAGTGTCAAAGTGACGGAAATAGTCATTTGTAACGGAACTTCTAAAAATGTCGAAATTACCCTTATAAATACATGACACACTAACCCCCTTATGATTTAATATTTTACCATAAAATCCTCTTATGGTTTTAAAAATATACACATAACCTCCCTTAATTAATAAATAATTTTCAACTTTATATAAGGGTATTTTTGACATTTTAGGTGATTCCGTTACGAATAATCATTCCCGTCACTTTGACACTTTAATCCAAATCATGAGGGAGTTATATATAACTATTGAAATCATAGGGGGTTATGTAATAAATACTAAATTCTGGGGGATAAAGTAGAATTTACCCTAAACTAAACTTTTTTAGAGCTTTATCAGTATTTGAGGGAGGTAGAGTCAGCTTAATATTAATATATTGTCCCAGTTGACTGCTCTATGACTCTGAATCAAGCTCACCACGCGGCTTAAACTTGAGAGTCAGTTACCATTTGTCCGCCGTCATTATTGCAGCTGACAAGTCAACTCAATAAACTAAACTTTAGGTAAAATCCTATAACACAGCAAATTGCTCCCGAGACCAACCTTTGGCGCTTGCAGTTGGCTCCGTAAAGCTTTACTATCTGAATCAGTATCGCCAATAAAAGCATCAGAAACTATAACAGCGGATAGAAATGTTGGTATAATTAATTTTACGGAAGGGAATTTCGCCATTTTCATCCCTAAACTTTTACATTAAAATCAATTTCGTCCTTTATGATTTTTTTTAGCTAATTTAGTCCTTCGACTATTTTGAAGTCTCTAATGTAGGACTTTTGCGGCAGCGACACCACATTTTACATATTCCCTACCACCGGTGATGGGTATATCTGTCTTTTTAAATTAAATTCTTCAATTTAGACGGACTTTGACCATAGTTCTTCTTCTCCGATGAATTTCACTGAAAATTTTATCTGGATTTATTAGAAACTTGCACAAACTCTCTCTCACACACTCAAATCAAAGAAACAAAATCCACGAGAAAAACATTAGAAAACTGAGAACCAAAAGGAAAATTGAAACAAAATTTGAAGGAGAAATCTTTCTCATACACAATTTTAAATCTACTCACCGGCAAGCTCATTTTGTTTGGTTCTGATTCTTCAATCCTTCGTTCATAGTTGCTAGCAAAGACACCACCAATTGTCACTACCTACCCGCTTTCATCTGTCAACTCTCTCATGACTAGTCATCATTCATTTTTCACCTTGAGTTTCATATGAACTCAAAAGAATCTCTCCAAAATCCTTGCGGAATCTTAGTTGTAGAGTTGTATACTCAATTTTCTTTCCAAGAAAAGAAGAAAAGAACCAAAAACAGAAAACCAACAAAAGCATTAAGGGAATCCGAGGAGCAAGGGGAGCTCGCTACCGCCATCACCATTGCCGGAGTTGCTATCTTCTTGCTAGAACCACCACTACTTACAGATCATCATGAAGAAAGCATGTGCGGTTTCCAGAATCCTTTTTTTGTTTTAATCTCTAGGTTGAGATGATTTTTTTGGCTGTTGAAATTGCCATCTTCTTCCCGTATGCTTTGTTTTGTAGATGAATGAAATTGGACAATGATACTTACTGCAATTTTGTTGTTTCTTTTGACCTTTTCTGCCTGAATGAGGCTTGACAAGATTTTTTCGGCTTAGCCATAGTCAAAATTCATACGAAATATTCAATTTTTGTGATGAGCTTAATCTATTTGACAAAATGCCCAAACAAAATGAGTTTGTAAGTTGACCTGAGGCTAAGAGTATGTTTGAGAGCCATTTCTCCTTTAAGACATGCGGCGTGCCTCAACCCGATTCCCACCGCCATACCAAAATAATCAGGCACCCTTTGTTAAAAGATGAGACCGCCCCTAGTTTCCGGTTTCTCCGTTTGTTTTTCCTTCTGCCATAGTAAGTTTAGTAACCCCTCTGAGCTCTAAGAACTGAGATCATCCAGCCAACCATGTATATATATATACACACACACACACTTGCGCTCCCACATTCATGCTCCGATCACCACCCATTCCAAAAGAAAAGCCAAGACCTGCCTCAAGGCAAAAAAAAGAAAAAAATTTCCCTTCCTTATCGAACCCACCAAAAAAAAAAGAAAGAGCAAAGGTAAATATCATAATAGCTCCACGGATTGGAATTCCATCTTTTCTCCCCAACTTTATGGAACTTTCTATTTTATTGTACCGCTACTCTTTACTTACATCTACAACCGACATCTTAGACGTCGCCGTCCTCGTCTCATGGTCGAAAACATGGACACTAAGATCGGAGCATTGGACACGTGTAAGCCACTCAGCAACGACATCAGTTGTCTCCCCACCAATGGCGCCGTTACCATCCACCAATCTCCCATTCCTTTCAACTCTGCTGACTCCACTCTCGGATGCCACCTTGCTCGTCATCTCGTCCAGGTCAGCGTAAATGACGTCTTCTGCTTGAGAGTATGTTTGCTTCACTTTTCTTATGGTTCTTGATTTTTTGTTTTTTTTCTTGTGAATTTTATTTCATGATTTGAGTGTGTGAGAGAGTTTGCGCGAATTTCTGGTGAATGGGATGAGGTGTCTATCGGAGAAGAAGAACTATGGTCAAAATCCGTCTAAATTGAAGAATTTAATTTCAAAAGACAGATACACCCATCACCGGTGGTAGGGAATATGTAAAATGTGGTGTCGCCGCCGCAAAAGTCCTACATTAGAGACTTCAAAATAGTCGAAGGGCTAAATTGGCTAAAAAAAATCATAAAGGATGAAATTGGTTTTAGTGTAAAAGTTTAGGGATGAAAATGGCGAAATTCCCTTTACGGAAAGATAAAACATTCTTCTACTGTTTCAAAGTAGCATATTTGACCTGAAACCTGGCTGAAATTAAGCCCAGGAGTTCGCGCATCAGCATTTTCATTTCTTTTTTTTTTTTTGGAATAAACAGAATCGAACCTAAGACAAATCAAATACATTAACTACCGGATGTTCTACAAGATTTGACTACTATTTTTTTACTTTTAATCCAAAAATCTGAACGTTTCAATGTTTTCATAGAACTCCATAGAGAAAATTTATGCCTGACGCGGCTTCTCAAACTGATAGTTAGTTACTCTGAACTACAAAGCATCCCATTCTTCCTTCTTTTTTTTTCAAATTAATCCATCCTCTGCAGTGTGGTGGTTTACTTTTATCTCATCAGGTAACCAAATTACTGTCAGAGGTTGTGTCCACGCACTAAAAGCTGTGGTATATGATCATGTTAGCATACTAAATCAAGACTCAAACATAGAAATTTTTATATTATTATTTAACAGTGTCAAGTTACGGTCTTAGTAATTTTATTTGAATTCAGTTACGATATTATTGATATTGTGATTTGTCAAGAAGATTAAAATTTAATAACATTATTATTATGATGTCTGGTTAATATATTATCATTAGCATTATTCCTCTTCTCTCATATATATTGTGTAAATTGCCTCCTCATCTACATTAGTTTTTGTGAAATTTATCTCCTATAATTTTTGGGTGAAATCTTTTTGAGTTCTATAGATCATTTGCTGCAAAAATAACAATAGTTAAAAGAACGAACCATTTCTTTACGAAAGGTCATATATTCGAATTTCGTACTCGATGTAAAAATGATTATCAATAATCTATGATTCCAAAAACATGCTTTGGCTTGTGATGGTGATTAGAGTCGAACCCATTATAACTTTTAGGGCAAATTACATTTTACCCCTCTGTGGTTTAGCATTTTTTTACATAACCCTCCTATGGTTTCAAAAGCTATACATAACCTCCTCATGATTTGGATTAAAGTGTCAAAATAACAGAAATAGTCACTCGTAACGGAATTTCTAAAAATGTCGAAATTACCCTTATAAATACATGACATATTAACCCCGTATGATTTTTATATTTTACTATATAACCCCTTTATGGTTTAATACTTTACCATATAACCCCCTTATGATTTTCAAAATATCCACATAACCTCCCTTGGTTAATAAATAATTTTCAACTTTACATAAGGGTATTTTTGATATTTTAGGTGATTCCGTTACGAATGATCATTCCCGTCATTTTGACACATTAATCCAAACCATAAGAGGATTATATATAGTTTTTGAAACTATAGGGGGGTTATGTAAAAAAATGCTAAATCACAGGAGGGTAAAGTGGAATTTGCCCTAACTTTTATTAGCAAAAAAAAAGGACAAATGTTGGAGGCTTGGGAAAAGAAATCCCTTTTGCCTATAATATCATGTATGCTCTGATTTATGGTGGTGATCCGAGTTGAACTCATTCAAACTTTTATTTAAAAAAAAAAAATGTTGAAGGCTTGGGAAAAGAAAGCCCTTTTGCCTATAGTGTCCAGTAGACTATCTGATGGAACCCAATGGTGACAACTAAGTTGCAATTTTAATTCTTTCAACTCGGTGTCTTTGTCATGGGCAAATTACACTTTATGCCCCTGCAGTTTAGTATTTGTTTACATAATTCTTCTATGGTTTCAAAAGATATACATAATCTTCTCATCATTTAGATTAAGATATCAGAGTAATGAAAATTGCAATTCATAACGGAGTTAACTAAATGTCAAAAATACATTTATGTAAAGTTGAAATTTATTTATTAACCACGGGGGGTTATATATATTTATTGAAAATTATAAGGGAGATATATAGTATAGCACTAAATCATAAGGAAGTTATATGGTAAAACACTAAATCTAAAAGAGTTATATGGTAAAATAGAAAATCATATAAGATTTGAGCGTCATGCATATTATATTTATATATTTTAATTACTTCAGTCATTTAGTTTTTAAATAAATGTAATTTCGATATTCTCATAGGTTCCATAACAGATGATTGTTTCCGTCAGTTTGACACTTTAATCCAAATTATGAGAGGATTATATATAATTTTTAAAACTATATGGGGTTATGTAAAAATTAGTTATACCACAGGAGATAAAGTGTAATTTGCTCCTTTGTCATTGAACATCCACTTTTAAATCCCAGTATAAAAAAGAGATTGATCTCGAAGATTGAGGAATGAACGAATGTTTTATATCTTTCTCTTCTTCTTTTTCATTAACTTTAGTATACCACTTAAAATTAAGTATTCCAATGATCGCGTTGCAATTGTACTATGTAACTACTCCATCTATCTTTGTGATGTAAACCAATGAGCAGATTCGGACCAGTTAGCAAACCAATGAGCCGATTATCAGCCGGGTTGGATATCTTATTATTCTTCAGTTCTCGATTGAAAATTATGTTTATTTAATTCCATTGCTAATATCATGTTTTTACTTTATTAATGTTTTAAAATAAGAATCATCATTTTAAATTTAACGCATGCTTTTTAATAGTGCTATTTTAAAAAGCAATTTTTTTACGTGGGCGGGGAGCTCGTGTTACAGAATTACACAGAGTTTGGATCTAAAATAAGATCCGATTCAATTATAAGTTCGTAAGGATCAGTAACATGATCATATTAAAGCCAACCCTCTAATTTTATCATTTTACTATTATAAAAGTAACATGAGTTTTAGCACTTCTGAGTGTAAACATTTTGCGGTTTTAATTTCTGGTATTCTAATTAGTCTATTATAATTGATGATTGAAGTTACATATTGTGAGGACCCGCAAATTTCTTATATTTTTCTCAAAAAAAAATGCCTTTTATTAGAAAATTATTATTTATTAAAGCCCTGCTACCCAATTGTTCAACAATAAGTGCAGATGAATCTAGAAAATAGGGTTTCACTCTTCGTTTCCAAGATTGGGGCAAATTAGGGTTTTCGTGATATTTTTTCCGCCGGATGAATTTTCGGTATGGAGCAAGGATCAAATTTGGTGATTAAAAGTGACTTTTAAATGAGAAATAATATGTGATTAGGAGCAATGAGATAAGGTTGGTGAATAGGAAGTAAAAACCCTAGTATGTATGTGTGTTTTTAAGAAAAACGGCACGAACCGGCGGGTCCCGCGCACTATCGATTGAACGCATCACTTGACCACCACTTTCTTACCATACAACCCCATTAATACTTGAGCAAAATATCTTCCATTTGCCAGCTATCTTGACCGAAATTTAGGGCTCAAAATAGCAAGAAAAAGAAAGAGAAAAATGAGAGGAGGTGGTGGCACCAAGTGTCGCTACCTAAGGGTTTCTTGACCAAGACATTAGTCTTCCTTCTTATCCCCTAAATTGCACCTTTTCTCTTCATTTTTCTGCTGAAGAGCCGACCAAAGAGAGAGAGAGAAAGTGAGAGCAAGAAAACAACTTCTTTCTTCTTGAATCTTAGCCAAACCAAGTGAGAAAATCGATTCCAAACCGATTAAAGTGCTAATTGTGAGTAGGGGAAGCTAGAGGAACCAGAAATTTTCAAAGGAGGTGGATTATAACTCATCCAAACTTGTCTTTGAGGTATTAAATCTGATCATGGTCCTTGATCTTTTAAATCTTGTGTAAATTAGCTTAGCAACTCAAGTTTGTGCTGAATAACGGTTGTTAGCATGTTTTGGGGGTTGTTTTCTTTGTGGACACATGAGTTAGGATTTGGGGAATTGCTGCCAAATTGGAAGTATGATTAATATATGTTGTATATAAGATTATATAAGGGGCTTTGGTAGTGATTGGAATAAGAAATTTGAGAAAGTTTCATTGAAGATCAACAAATTCCAGATTTCTAGAAAATTTTCCCCTTTTCTGCCCGTTTTTGTTGCTCCATGTTAGAGGCTGAATTGGCCATAGATCAAAACATGAAAGTTGTAGGGAATGGTATTTTATAGCTATCTACAAAATTTCAGCTCAATCGGAGCAACGTAGCTTGTGAAAAGATGAAAATACCCTCGCTGATCTAGGTCACTTTCCAGAGTTCCGCGTGGACAGTTCAGTCCTTTTGATTGAGTTTATTCACTATAATCCGTTCGGATTTAGTCATTTGTTAAAACATGAAAGTTTTAGTGCCCTGTCTTATCTTTGTAATGCTGCCAAGAACGTCTTAAACGGACCTCGGTAGACTGAGTTATGGTCATTTGAGTGCAGTGCAGTTGATTAGCCGAATAGTTGAAACCAGGTTACGTGAGTTGGGAATTTGATCAGGTTACATTGAAACTTTGACTGAGTGCTCTTCATGAAAGTTGTAGGCTTTCGTCTTAGCTTCGAAATGGTATAAGTTACGTATCAATCCGATAAACGTAGCCTCGGATGTGTTATTTCCGTAAAACCCGTCAAAACTGTCTTTTGATAAGTTTCATTTCCGCACCTGATATTAGCTTAATCTTTGCTCTTGTGTTGTTGTGAGCCTATGGAATGGCTATTGAACTGAATTTGTGTTCTGGACTTGTTTTGTGTACAATGTTGGGTTGGATTGAGTAAGAATGAAGCCATAAATGGTTGGAAATTAGGTAAACACAAAGGGCATGCTGCCCAAATTTACGCTCGAGGGCTATAGAAATACACTTGCGACTTGGGTCAAGTTAAGATGAATAGTACTTGAACCACCTAGGACTTTGGCTATCTTGGTTCGAGGGTTATACGTTAAAACCTAGCCGAACTTATACCCTTGAGGAAAAGACATAATGGTCAATATAAACTTGTATTTCCTTGTACTTTCAACTCAAGTGTTGTTTCCAAGTATATATGTTACAAAAACCTTACGATTTGAAAAGCGAGCAAGTGTTTCACGAATGTCTTTCAAATGAATTTCAATTGGACGATTCTTAATGAACGGAACGTTTAAGTTTCGAATCTTACTCGTGTTTCAAAGTTCTCAAATTGGATTTTTATCGCAGATCTGGACTCCAAGTCTGGAGTATAAGTGAACGTGAATACTTGAAGCACTATATTTTGGTGAGTGCTTCCAAATATCCGATTGTACTTGATACATGTGTTCCTTACTTGAATTGTATGATTACATGAAAATGAATGATAGGGCAAGGGTGTACTTTACCGCACTTGTCCCAATATGACTTGTTCTTGCTATTGATTACACTTGACTTGCTCTACATGTACTTGAGATATGTCTTGTCTGGAATTCCAGAAACCCTGTGGCTAGTTAATCGAGTCGAGCCGGCAAGGGCCTGGTCGATTAGATAACAAACCCTGGGTCACTTGTAATGTCGAGTGGAGTGTTATCTTCTCGACTAAACGGTATACTCGAGTATTACCACCCGTGTTTCGTGTGGCGTGCGGGCCCGGAAAAGGGGGTTGATTGGTGGACAGAGATTGACGTGTAGTGGAGTTTTATTTTGGACTTGTTATGACTTGAAAGTTGGCGGAGTGTCAACTACCACTTGACCAAGCTGGAATGGAGCCGTGATATGGGTTACTGTATCCTTACATGTGAATGTGAACCTGATATTACTTGGCTAGCTGAAGTACTATTTTCCTGATTTGACTTGTTTGCTCGCTATTTCACTATTACTTTGTTATCACTTGATTTGTTGACCAATTTGATATTTGGGAACTTCACTGAGTTTTGGCTCACCCCGTTAGTTTGTTTTCCTTACAGGGGTACGAGTGAAGCGTGAGACGTATAAAGGCTAGCGTAGTCTAGTTGCTCTTGATTTTGTTTTGAATTTTGACTTGTACTCGCGCCATTCCTCGAATGGATTGTTTTGTACTTGGATTGTATACGCTTTGAACTAGTTTGAGTATATCGAGACTTTGTATCCTGTTTCCTATCCATGTATATTATAAGCTTGAATCGTGGATGTTATTTATGGTTCATGGATGCGTATGTACGTGATTCGCGTGAGCTTGTGAGTGAGTCCTGGCAAGAGTTGGGCAGACGGTCCGCCGAACCCTTTGGTACGTCTTAGGGGTAGGTGGGATCGTCACAGGTGGTATCAGAGCTCCTATTGAGCTCGTGCCGGGAGAAGGTTCTCGGACTGTGGGGATTGGCTTATTAAGTGTGAAACAATTGTTTATTGTTGGGGACCTTAGACATATATGTTGGGTAGAAATCTCTAATACGGGTGATTTGCTCTTGAGCCTGGCCAGATTGAGTGGTGAATTATCATATTTTCGGATTCTTGTCCCCGAATACCAAAGAGTGATACCTTTACGATAAGTTGAGATCTCGCGTAATATTGAGATAAGTTTGGATTGCGAAAGCAAAGGCACGGGGAATGTGAATATTATGGACTTGAAATATATTGAAGATATTCATGGGATTTGGGATCCTTCTTATCCACGTGTTTCGAGTCTTGATTAAGTGTAGTACCTGAGCGATACGTAGGGTTAATGCTCTATAAGTTATGTGACTCGTTTTGATTGAATATGTTATTTTGCCTTGCTCTATGATTTAGAGTGGTTTATGATTTGCATTACTCTGTTTTATGCTATTTATATTTATATAGTTAATTAGTGGCTATATTCTATTATTGATTAGTTGGTTATATTGTTCTAGTTTATTAGCTGCGAAACATGGAAGATAAAAGAAGTCGGACCAAGAAAGCTAACCGAGAACGCGGCTCTAGGCGAGGCCATGAGGGTGAGCAAGCACAATAACCGGTGCCAAAACCGAGAGAGGAGAGGGAGGCAACGGTTGAGCCACAGCCTGAACCCCAAGCTGCAGGAGGAGATCAGGTGGCAACTGCCATCCAACAGATGACTAACATTTTAGCTCGGTTGGTGGAATAACAGGGTCAAGCCCCTGTAAATCAACCTAGGGACCCCGATATGGGGCAGGATAGAGTCTTGGAGAGATTCCAAAAGTTCTCCCCACCCAAGTTTTTAGGAGGGCCAGACCCGTATGAGGCTGAGAAATGGCTGGAGGCCATGGTAAATATTTTTGCTGCCCTGAACTATACAGAGGAGAGACAAGTCCAATTCGCTGTTTTTCAATTTGAGGGGCCAGCTAGGGCCTGGTGGAATGTAGTGAGGGCCAAGTGGGAGAGAGAGAGAACTGCATGGACTTGGCTAAACTTTGTACGAGATTTCAACGAGAAATATCTTCCTCCTATCGTCCAAGAGAAGCGAGAGGACGATTTCATTAAACTCCATCAGGGAATGATGAGTGTAACTGAGTATGAGACTCAGTTTACAAAGTTGTCTAAATTTGCTCCCGAACTGATAGCTACGGAGCAGAGAAAAGTACGGAGATTTGTGCAAGGGCTGAATGTGGAGTTACAAGAAGCCTTAGCGGCAGTCCAAATTAATACATTCACGGAGGTTCTAGAGAAGGCCCTAAGGATAGAGACTGTTAGGGCACAAGTGAGAGCTTTTCATGCAAAAAGGAGAGGTGCGCCTGGTTGGAGTCAAAGGCAAGGACAAGGTGATTTAGATATGCCACCTTCTAAGATAGGCCGAGGAGATGGTAGTGAGAAAATTTCAGAGATATCTAAAGAAAGTACTCCAAGAGGAGTTTCGCGTGGCTGGGGCCAAGCAAGAGGTGCCTCACAAGGAGGTCAGACCTCAGCCCCTCAAGCATCTTGCGGGTGCTGTGGGAAGGCCAATCATGTGGAGAGTGATTGTTGGCGAAAGGCGGGAAAATGTTTATGGTGTGGTGGCACCGAACACCAGCTTGCAACCTGTCCCCGTAGATCACGCCCAAACCCTGAACAAGCAAATGTAGGAGGGACTAATCCGAGAGTGCCAGTTAGAGTGTACGCCTTGGACCAACAGGCATTACCTGAACCATTGGAGATAGTAGAAGGTACGATTCGTGATTTCTATTGTTTAACCAAGTGTTGACCATAGTGAAACTTGAGAGCTGGAAACGAATATATAAGGAAAATATCCTACATTATTCGAAGTGCATCTATGAATTTCGAGGTCGAAATTCTTTTAAGGGGGAGAGAGTGTGAGTACCCGCAAATTTCTTATATTTTTCTCAAAAAAAAATGCCTTTTATTAGAAAATTATTATTTATTAAAGCCCTGCTACCCAATTGTTCAACAATAAGTGCAGATGAACCTAGAAAGTAGGGTTTCACTCTTCGTTTCCAAAATTGGGGCAAATTAGGGTTTTCGTGATTTTTTTTCCACCGGATGAATTTTCGGTATGGAGCAAGGATCAAATTTGGTGATTAAAAGTGACTTTTAAGTGAGAAATAATATGTGATTAGGAGCAATGAGATAAGGTTGGTGAATAGGAAGTAAAAACCCTAGTATGTGTGTTTTTAAGAAAAACGGCGCGAACCGGCGGGTCCCGCGCACTACCGATTGAACGTATCACTTGACCACCACTTTCTTACCATACAACCCCATTAATACTTGAGCAAAATATCTTCCATTTGCCAGCTATCTTGACCGAAATTTAGGGCTCAAAATAGCAAGAAAAAGAAAGAGAAAAAATGAGAGGAGGTGGTGGCGCCAAGTGTCGCTACCTAAGGGTTTCTTGACCAAGACATTAGTCTTCCTTCTTATCCCCTAAATTGCACCTTTTCTCTTCATTTTTCTGCTGAAGAGCCGACCAAAGAGAGAGAGAGAAAGTGAGAGCAAGAAAACAACTTCTTTCTTCTTGAATCTTAGCCAAACCAAGTGAGAAAATCGATTCCAAACCGATTAAAGTGCTAATTGTGAGTAGGGGAAGCTAGAGGAACCAGAAATTTTTAAAGGAGGTGGATTATCACTCATCCAAGCTTGTCTTTGAGGTATTAAATCTGATCATGGTCCTTGATCTTTTAAATCTTGTGTAAATTAGCTTAGCAACTCAAGTTTGTGCTGAATAACGGTTGTTAGCATGTTTTGGGGGTTGTTTTCTTTGTGGACACATGAGTTAGGATTTGGGAAATTGCTGCCAAATTGGAAGTATGATTAATATATGTTGTATATAAGATTATATAAGGGGCTTTGGTAGTGATTGGAATAAGAAATTTGAGAAAGTTTCATTGAAGATCAACAAATTCCAGATTTCTAGAAAATTTTCCCCTTTTCTGCCCGTTTTTGTTGCTCCATGTTAGAGGCTGAATTGGCCATAGATCAAAACATGAAAGTTGTAGGGAATGGTATTTTATAGCTATCTACAAAATTTCAGTTCAATCGGAGCAACGTAGCTTGTGAAAAGATGAAAATACCCTCGTTGATCTAGGTCCCTTTCCAGAGTTCCGCGTGGACAGTTCAGTCCTTTTGATTGAGTTTATTCACTGTAATTAGTTCGGATTTAGTCATTTGTTAAAACATGAAAGTTTTAGTGCCCTGTCTTATCTTTGTAACGCTGCCAAGAACGTCTTAAACGGACCTCGGTAGACTGAGTTATGGTCATTTGAGTGCAGTGCAGTTGATTAGCCGAATAGTTGAAACCAGGTTACGTGAGTTGGGAATTTGATCAGGTTACATTGAAACTTTGACTGAGTGCTCTTCATGAAAGTTGTAGGCTTTCGTCTTAGCTTCGAAATGGTATAAGCTACGTATCAATCCGATAAACGTAGCCTCGGATGTGTTATTTCCGCAAAACCCGTCAAAACTGTCTTTTGATAAGTTTCATTTCCGCACCTGATATTAGCTTAATCTTTGCTCTTGTGTTGTTGTGAGCCTATGGAATGGCTATTGAACTGAATTTGTGTTCTGGACTTGTTTTGTGTACAATGTTAGGTTGGATTGAGTAAGAATGAAGCCATAAATGGCTGGAAATTAGGTAAACACAAAGGGCATGCTGCCCAAATTTACGCTCGAGGGCTATAGAAATACACTTGTGACTTGGGTCAAGTTAAGATGAATAGTACTTGAACCACCTAGGATTTTGGCTATCTTGGTTCGAGGGTTATACGTTAAAACCTAGCCGAACTTATACCCTTGAGGAAAAGACATAATGGCCAATATAAACTTGTATTTCCTTGTACTTTCAACTCAAGTGTTGTTTCCAAGTATATATGTTACAAAAACCTTA